ATGGAGGCAGAGTCACCTGTGTCAATATGGTGGCTCAGGAGGGTCGTGCGACCAATGTCAAATTTACCCCTGCTGAAAATGTTCCCAAACTCGAGCAACAGTGCACGCAGCGCGGATCTCTGGGCGATGGACAAGTTCTGATTTTCGGAGCAGAGGGCATCCGCCCAGCTATCCTTGCCAATTATCCCTTGGTCCGTGTTCGGCGCGACCCCTACACCCCCCACTACATTACCGTCTACCTTCGCGGCTGACGCATGGGCGAGCACTGTGCCCACCTGTATAACTGACGCATACAGCCCAACATTTTGCATCTGAGTGAATGGCTGCTGGGCCCTCGAGACCAGCGTCTGAGCTCTCACGAGTGTCATCCCCCGGACCGCTCTGTTAGTGGGTCCCAACACGACCCCTCTCACGGTGGCCTCCCGATCGAGCGGCTTCCACAGCCGCAGGGGGACAAGAATTTGCGGACCGGGGGGAATCATAACCATGATGGTAGCTAGCGCCTGGACGGTCACGTTAACCAAATGCAGACGAGTGGGGGAAGAAAAGAACGCAATGCGACGGCCCGAGGGCAATTCTAAACATCTTTGATCTGTCAAAATTTTCAGGGGCATTTTACCGAGAAAGTCTGTTCCCAGCAGACAGGGCACAGCCAGGAAGGCGGAAACCAGCACAGGCCCTACCAATTTAATGTCGGCGATGGACACTTCTGCCGATATCTGACCTATAATGCCTAATGAACCCTCGTTAGTGGTAAAGTACAGAACGGTAACGGGGTGCAAGGAGCGACAACCCCGTGGCAAGAAATAAAAAATCAATTCAGAAATAATGGTGGCGGATGCCCCCGTATCGATGTGCACCCGCACCTCCACCCCCCTGTATCATTCTGATGACTAACCAGTGAACTCAAACACGTACACCAAGCTCTCAAGGTGAATGGATATTTTGACTATACAATCTGCAAAGCCATCACCTCAACTGTGAGGAAGGAGTCATCTGAAGATTCAATCAAAACCATCACGTTGCCTTACATAGCAGGGGTAACCAAAAAGATTTCCCAAATCTTGAACAAACACAAGATCCAGGTCCGATTTAACACAGTGCATAAAATTCGTGATCTGATCCCATCTGTGAAGGATAGGATCCCTAAAATGCAATATCCCGGCGTCTACAAACTAAGCTGTGTCTGCGGCAGCAGTTACATTGGGGAAACTAAGCGACATGTCTCGGACCGTGTTCGTGAACATAAGGCAGATCTGAAACACGGCAGGACCAATACCTCTGCCGTGGTTGATCATTACTTTAATGCGGCTGGCTCACATGAAATTGATTTCTCGAAGACGATGGTACTTTGCAAGCCGACTGGCAATCAACAAGGATTTGTTCACAAAGCCATCCATATATACAGACACAGACAATTTCAACTGAGACGACGGTTATAAACTCAGCAATCATTGCAAAGATGTCATCAACCACTTTGGGTCATGACTTGATTTGTGTTTTCTTGTCAACCTCCAATTTCAGCAGTGTGGATGTCAGTTTAACACGTAGGCTTTCGCGACCAATATTATTCATAATAAAGGTTTTTGGTTTAGATCGCGTTATTTTTAAATGTGTCGTAACCCTCCACCACCCGACACGGCCAATCAGCAAAAAAAAGTGTCACGTTGACAAAAGACAAATAATTCACTTCTTTAGCCCACCGGTGTGTTGAAGAGTGAATCCACAACATTTACAGTTTGAGTACGACGTTTCGCTGGTAAATACATCCAGCATCATCGGGCAATTCGCCAGAATGGATGTGTTTGGCGAGGTGCAATGCCTCCTCCCCATCTCTACCCCCCCCCTCTCTCCCCCTATCTCCTCCCCCTTCCTCCTCCCATCGTCTAAGACACTTGGCACTGCGCCCGTCGCCTTCAGCTCCACCTCTACCTGGCGCTTTACTACCCCCCCTCTCTCCCCCTATCTCTCCCCCCCCCCCCCATTGTCTAAGACACTTGGACTGCGCCGCTCGCCTTCAGCTCCACCTCTACCTCGCGCTTCACCCCCCCCCTCTCTCCCCCTATCTCTACCCCCCCCCCCCCCCCCCCATTGTCTAAGACACTTGGACTGCGCCGCTCGCCTTCAGCTCCACCTCTACCTTGCGCTTTACTCCTACTTCTCACGCTGTACTCCTACATCAACACTGGCGGCCCCGCCCATGCTGTTTGCGCCACGCAGCTCTCCTTGCCGCTGCCTCGCAACTCTCGTCCCCCCACCCACTCACTCTGGAAGCCCTTATAAGGAGTTGCATTTGGAGACTTGCCTCCTCTTTTCTCTCCGCCTGATGAAGACCGCTTGTGTTGCGATCGAAACGTCGTGGTTTTTTTCTTTCATTATTATTTTTTCTTCATTTTTTTTTCTATCTACGTTACTTTGCCAAAAGAACCAAGAATGCAGATTGTAAATGTTGTGGATTTGCTCTCCAACACACCGGTGTGCTGTACCAGTAACGAATTGGCACGTTCTGTTTACGTGACAAACCTTACTAATTGGCTGTGTCGAGTGGTGGCGGGTTTAACGACACATGTATATTTATACGTGATATAACCCCAAAACCCCTATATTATACAAAAAAATAGGTCATGCTGCTTGCCAAGGCGGCTGGCACCCTGTGTTAGAACGTGTGCATTTCTTTTCCACTGGCTTCAAATCAAATCAATTCCAAATCAACTTAAAAGTCGCACTCACCTTCTAAATGATTCTCTGTGCCCTTGGGGGCCGTCCATAAGTTACGTCACGCGAATTTATTTAAAGTTGCGCATTTTGATGTGACGTCACATTTCTCAAACCCCCCCCCCCCTTCGTCACACATCGTCACAAATGTCTGACCACCCCTCCCCCCCCCCCAGGTGCGTGACGTCATTTATGGACGGCCCCTTGCCCCTGCACACCTCTCATCTTAATAGGCTATCCAGGGGCGGAGCCAGGATTTTGACTTTGAGGAGGGGGGGGGGCTGACTTCAATATTCTGAGATATCCAGTTTATGTTTTCCAATGGGCGGAACAAATGTATAAAACAACCTTCTTTGGTTCTTTCGGTAAAGTCACGTAGAATGAGAATAAAATAATAAATTTAATAAAATAACAATAAAATTCTCACGACGTTTCGGCCACAACACCAGTGGCCTTCATCAGGTGAAGGGACGAGACTGTCTGGAGGACAGCGCTGGAGCGAACTAAAGAAGATGAATCATTGCAGTCACGAAAGCTTTAAATCGAAATGTATAAACAAATTTTATTGGATTTGAACGCGGAGTTTATTAATAGGTCGGAGCCGCTGATGTGGCTAATAAGTTAGGTAAGTTCGAAAGGCTGCCGCTCAAGCAGCCTGCAGGGCAGCACACAAGGTGGCAGCCTGCAGGGCAGCGCACAAGGTGGCAGCCTGCAGGGCAGCGCACAAGGTGGCAGCCTGCAGGGCAGCGCACAAGGTGGCAGCCTGCAGGGCAGCGCACAAGGTGGCAGCCTGCAGGGCAGCGCACAAGGTGGCAGCCTGCAGGGCAGCGCACAAGGTGGCAGCCTGCAGGGCAGCGCACAAGGTGGCAGCCTGCAGGGCAGCGCACAAGGTGGCAGCCTGCAGGGCAGCACACAAGGTGGCAGCCTGCAGGGCAGCCCACAAGGTGGCAGCAGCCTGCAGGGCAGCACACAAGGTGGCAGCCTGCAGGGCAGCACACAAGGTGGCAGCCTGCAGGGCAGCACAAGGTGGCAGCCTGCAGGGCAGCGCACAAGGTGGCAGCCTGCAGGGCAGCGCACAAGGTGGCAGCCTGCAGGGCAGCGCACAAGGTGGCAGCCTGCAGGGCAGCGCACAAGGTGGCAGCCTGCAGGGCAGCGCACAAGGTGACAGCCTGCAGCATTTTGCAGCAGCCGGATATCCGGTTATCCCAATTACCGACTTTCCAAAAATTTCAGGGGGGGGGGTGAGCCCCCCCCAGCCCCCCCTATTGCTCCGCCCCTGATGCTATCCTTCACCCTATCATCTCACTCGACTACCTTTCATATTCTCCTACCTCTCATCTGATCCTGCTACCCTTTCCATCTTTCCCTCTCATTTCACATTACATCCTTCACACACTCCTACCTCTTATCTGACTCTGCTACCCTTCACTCTCTCCTACCTCTCCCCTCCCATCTCACTCTGTGAGGAAACCCTCCCCGTAGAGGTGGTTCAAACTAGATTCGAAGCTTCCTCACAATCTCAGACTTTACGTTCTCCCATAGATTGCGAAATTAGACGTTATCAACCAGGCTATGCGTTAACTATGTGTTAGTCGACTCTCTGTGTTGCATTGCATTACACTTCCTAATTTTACTCAATTTGCTTTTTCAAACTTCCGATTTTCTTGCTCTAAATATTGCCGTGCTGGTTTGTTTATAATCCATTCTCTCCTCTGGCCACTATGGTCCGGAATTCCACACAACTATTCTTTGGAGGAGCGTGGTCAGCCTCCGGCCACTAGGGCCCGGAATTCCACGCAACTCTCTCATTGTCCTCTGCCCCCCCCTCTCTAAGGCCTCGACACAGTGGTGCTGTCTTTGTCATTCTTTGGAGGAGCGTGGTCAGCCAGGTGGGGTGTTGGCTGTTGCGTTGGCCGGCTCTGTTGTTATTGCATTGTTTCTAAGTTTACTGTATGTTTTTTTCCTCATTCATTCTTACCTGATGATGGCTGTTTGTGTTGAAACCGAAAAATCGTATTCTATTATTTGATTTTATTTTCTACGTGACTTTACCGAAAGAACCAGAGTAATTCCTGCAGTCACGAAAGCTTCGAATCTAGTTTGCTATACAAATATGTTTTACATTGCAATTAAAGAACCCCTGTATGTAGTGCTGTCTCAACATGCTGGATAAAATCCAGTGTTGTATTGCACAATGAAAATCTCACTCCATGGATTGGTATGCACACTTCTTTGCTGACACATTTCGATCAACAACACTACAACAAACAAAGATGTCTCATGTCTGGGTTTCCTTAAAGCGCTTTTATTAGAATTCTGCTTATTTATACGAATACTTTTGCTATTACGGAACTGGAAAAATTGGACTAAAAATACAAGTGCGAATTTTAAAAATCATCTCGTTTCGAGCTAAATAAACATCAACGTGTCCTTCAAACTTATATTCATTTAATGGAAAAGGGTTACGTGGGTAAAGGGTGTTTTTTTAACCTGTTCTTGATGTCACAACACAGGAGCCACTGACATTTTTTCCCCCCTTTAAATCACCAATCGTATTCAAACTGTCCTACAGGAGTTGCGCATGATCACTCCAACATGCCTTTGGTCAGCAGTGTAACGTCACAATGTGAGGGGACAGTTCCGGAAGGCAACACCACAGGGTTGCTTCAATAGACCTCTCCCACCCAAAGCCGGACGGCACTCCTTCATGCTGCGAAGAGTGTTCTTGCGCAATGACAGTCGACCGACATGAAATAATTTTAGATGTTAAAGAGATGGGCTAGCGAGAACTTAAATTAAAAAAAATGTATTCATCACTTCGGGTTTCTAGTGCAGTCATTTGTGGCTGGACTATAGCCATTTAACTCCGTACCTTTTCATACCTGGTTTTAATCACTGGCACTTGACACACAGATTCAAACACAGGCCACCAGAGTTACTGGCTCAATGATCCTGACAAAGGCATCAACCCCTGTAAGCCACCTCAACAACAAAACAAATGTTTTAAAGGCGAATGCCTCGTGCTATTTTCATGTCATCCATAAATCGAGTAAAATTGTACAAAGGCGCCCATTTTGAACGGTGCACCTTATTGCACAGCCCCTGAAATTGGAATTCAATAAACAAAAAAACATCTTGGAAGAGGGGGGGGGGGTATAAAACAAAAAGCTGGACTCTCCATTCGCGTCGTATCAGTGATGTCTCCTCCCTCCTGATAATTTAAACCGGCCGCTGGGACCGACGCACTGCTGAAATTTTGTAAAAGCATCCATATGGTGTTAAAAACAAAGGCAAACACGATTTTGGTGATCACGCGTCCGATCACCATCGTTCGTCAAACGCACGAAGCACGTCTCTTCGAACAACGCCCCGACGGCAACAAAGACACGCGAACGAGTTGTTACATCAAGCAAGCGATTTGTAGCAAAGCCTGATAATAATAATTACGAGAGCACTACCCAAGTCGACACCCACCCTCCGTCAACACCGCCTTCTAACAGAACACGTGTCCAGAAATGCATCGTCGCATTTTAAAGAGTAATAATGAAAGAGCCATTTGAAATGTATGTTTCAATTTTTTTGTAAACAGACGTCAGCACGGTACCCTCCTAGAAACTGGCATCGTTACACGAGAAAGCAGAACGTGTAAAATTTGTACGTGAAGTTTTTTTTCAGTATAATTCGAAGAAATTGTTCACGTTGGCAGGACCTCCACATACGAACTGTTTAACACGTCAAAGCAGCCAAGCCAGTCTGCGAAAATCTCTTCAGATTTTGTTAAACCCGACTATTAATTGTAGATGGACAAAAGTCCTACGATAAAATTGAGATACTACACCAAGTGTGTATAGTTTCATCCACCCAGCTTAAAATGCAAATTATGTTTGAATGACTGATATCTTTGGGTACACTCTGTAGAGTATATACGTTCATGCTAAAGTTTTGGGTAATCGTCCTACCGAGCAGTTTAATGACTTAGAGCGACTTCACAATTTCCGAGTGTTTCCAAGTCATCGCATTGCAAAGGTTTATATCAGTCAATCTCGGCCTCTCTGCTCTAAGGGACAAAGCCGAAAACTATACACTAAGTGCATGCGTTTCCGTTTGAAGGCAGTGTTAAGACAGTGGAGGCGTTTTTGCTAGTGCGTGTACACCACTGACGACACTGCATCTTTACTTGGCTATTAATGTCTCGCCAGGTATCAAGCTGCCTATTTGGCAAAAAAAAGCTGCGTTTTCATTTTTTATTTGTAATGAAACGTCATATTTTCCACCGCAGGAATCTACCAGATGCGCTTCAGGCCGATGGTGGCTGAGGACATCTCATTTCACGACGGCCACGCGTGTAGAAGACTTTTAGAAAACCTTATTACAAGTTTAAATTGCTGCGGAACAATCGAGCCGGGATATTCCAGCAGTCGTTGAATGTCTGTTGAATATTCAAGTTTTCGGTTACTGTCAAATACTCTGTTATATGCAGACACGTATGCAAACGCGACCTTTCCAGTAGCGCATTAGTGAATACAATAGTCCCGAGAACATTTGGGCTTCATACGAACGTTAATTCAATGACCATTATCTTTATCACATTATTCATTGCCATATTGTATTGGTCTACCTACAGTCCAAATAGAATGCACTGGCCATTGTAATTGTTGCTAAGTTTTTTTTTTTATATACAATCACTGTGATCGATAGAGCTATGTTAATGTTACATTTTCTTGAGGGACTATCTTGGTGTGGTCTGGGACTGTTCTGTTGTTTTTGCTCCCTTGCCCAAGCTTGATAAATTGATCATTTATTTTTTACTTGCTTACATTTAGTCACTTTCTTACCATTTTCTCCAGTTTGCACTCGTATCATTTTTGGGCATTGTTTTCTGCTCTAACTTGCCGACCCGCCCATACCGGACAGCTGTGAAAAAGTTCCATAGCTCATCGGATTCCTCCACTCTCAAATAAAAATTCTGATTCAGTTTGTGAACAAAGTTGCTCAATCATCCCAGCTCCGTGCGACGGTTCTAAGCACTGCAGCTGTACGATTGTACAGTGTGCCAAGTGGTAATCCCTCTACAAGCGTGTTTAGCCAGTGAGCTATACCGCTGCAATCGCTCCCGCAATGCCCTCTCCCAGTGCCGTGTATGCCAGCCTGGGTTGTCATATTATACGAGGGGCATTGCCTGAAAGCTAGCCCTCAACCTATAGGGCCACGATGCGAACCTACCACTGCGTGAAGCTGCAACAACGCACAACATAATCATGCTCGGCGCCAATTTGTGTTTCTTTGCAGCCAATGCCTTGACCGTAAATAGGATCGGCGTGTGCAGCGAGGGGGTTGGGTGGCGCCAACAATGACGAGCACACAAGGGAGACCCGTGGGGGGCATTTACAGGCTGGAGACATCAAGCTCCAAGCTCTGAACAGTCGTCGTCAGGAGTAGAAGTACACCACCTATCTGCATTAACCACCCAATTCGTGCCTCTAAGGAAACAAGTCCTGCATTGGTCGATAAACTCTCTAAAATAAATATGGGCCCCTTATTTCTGTACAGCGTCTTGAGAAGCAGCATAATTTATAGGCTAAATCCAATCGTGAAACTTTGACGATGTAGTACAATATAGGCTCGTAACAATGCAGCAATTCATACTGACATAACACGCACCAAAGGTGTGATATATTATTTTCAATTCATCTCTGTTGCATGTGATTCGTTCGTATGCCCCTTGAAATAACAAGATCGGAACGACGAACCAGTGAACCAAGTGATTCACCTCCCTTGGAGTTTTAAACGAAAGGTGATTAAAAATATATAAAATGGTGAATACGCGTTACTGCAGGAGCATCGTTTATAGCTCTGGGTCTGTGCAGTCCCGAGGGGTTAAAGTTTGGGTTGTGACCTAAATGAGCCTCACATCCACATTTTGGGTAATTACCCCAGATGATACTACTCAACCCTTTCCTGTTCTAAGTACTTCATCAACTTTTCTTCCGAATTGGAAAAGGCCAGGCAGGAGTACGTGCGGCAGTTTATCGCCAGCTTCAACGGGCCCCCTCTCTCCCCAAACAATAGATCGTGCTTTTTCCTGGTATTAAATAATCATCCGCCTGTCAATGATCTGATACAATTATCACAAATTGTACCTCTCAAGCATTCTATCCAAATTAAAATAACTCACACAGTGGGTGTTTTTTGTGTAATAATTTTGAGGTTTTCTCATCCATCGCTGCTCACAAGAAACTAGTTTAATCATCACAGGTTTCCTAAACTCAGATTTAAACTCAGGACCTTCAGTGGTACTGGCCCAGCACCCTGACATTACCACCATTATGCTTGTATACCGAGCAATGCAACACCAAATTCCACGAATCCTTGAGTAGGGTCCTGTCATGTTTTCATAGTGGGGGTTTGAGTGCTATGTATATTTCAATCGAGTAATTCTTAACCCACGGGGTAAGAGATAGGCATCCAGTCACTCCCCCGTGTCCCAATTAATTTACCCTTCTTATAGGCATAACTCTATGCACTAATCAATGTTTAAAGTGCATTCAAATACAGCACTGTACTGAAGAAAGTTTGAGACGACATGTATAATATCCGTGCTGACGGATTACTTCAGTCTCTCAGGATTACTTCAGGTTTTAGAAGTAATTCTGCAGATTGTTTTTCAAATTCGACTAGGACTGCGATCTAACAATTAAGATATATTATGAAGATTAAAAATGTCTTCTTCGTTATCTGCTGTGAGTGGCTCCCACGACTCTGACCCTTTCCTTCATGGGGCCGGCCTCTTGCAGCTGAAGACGACAATTTAAAGCCACCACATGCCTCCATGCTCAAAGAATTGCCGCCGGGCAGTTGATATACCTCTGCCGGAGACCCCAAACACAGTGGTGGAAATTCCACTTCCCCAAGATGAACTTTGCACGAACTGGGTACTTGTTTTATCGATCCAGGAAGAATGATGGCCTGAGCTTAATCGACGCTCAAAATAAGATTTGAACATATCTTATAACCGACTTAAGTGCTCCGACCACGGTGCCACCGAACGTTGATAGAATTATAATTTGACGAGGAAAAAGTCCTGTCTCGACTTCGAGCTGCCTCTATATGCAGGAGAGATTCTGATTATATCACATGACCAAGGTCTGATGTGACCCCATGAATAAAGGCATTTCAATTGGCTCTCACGTGTGATACACATTGACATTCCCCCTATTTTATTTTCATGATTCAGGGTGTCGATTCCATTGGAGTTTAGAGGGGTTTTTTTCAGGAATGATTTCCGGTGGCTGCAGGGTAAATATGAAACAATTTCAATTAAAGCGAATCGTAAAAAAACCTACTTTGCCACGTGGTAGCGTGTATCATGAGCATAACCAACCGTAATGGATGGCTCAATGTTATTATCACATGCCAAGAATTTCCACTACAAAGATCCCCCGTCTAACCTGAACAGACATTTCGGGGAAATGTTGTTCGTGAGCACCTATTATATCCGGCATGGCATGCGAGGGGGTGGGTGGGTGGCTGGCACCATGCCTCGCCAGCTGTATCTCCCCAATGGCAATGCTTATAGATTGCAGCAGGTACTCATGAGGCTGAGACAAGAGGCCCAGGAACAGTTCAGATAATCACTGGTATTGGCCATCAGTGGGAATCAAACTCTGGTCGCCAGGTTCATAGTGCAGCGTGCTAAGAACTACACTACTGCTCCACTCAAAACCAACTACACACGTGCACACACCATTCACCCGACTTTTCCTACCCTAGCCTCGTTAAACTCACAGCGCTTACCATCACCATCTCAGTGCAGTGACAATTACGTGCACCTATTTTCTCGGACTTGAAGGTGGCAGGATTGGTGACCCATGCAGAGATGAGCAGTGGTGTTGGCAAGACCCTGTCAGCTCACAAGAGAGACGGGTAATGGTTTGGAAGCAGAGTTGGCTCTGTAAAAGGAGTCGGATCGTTTCTCCCCTCGCCACGTGGGTTTCCCTCCACGCACTGCATTCCCCGTCTGACACGCAAAAAAAACTGGCCAAACAATCCAAGCAGAAGCCGAATTAAAACGAGCCTCGGAGACTTGAGTGATCTCAACTCGTATAATTGAAAAAAAAAAATTATCCTGGTTGTAAGAAAAGATGTATTGCATTCGCTGGGTATTTTTTTTGGTGGACTATGTAAATTGCTTTGGAAGTCGAGAGGTCAACATGAGTATTAAGAGGTGGGAGTTTGGTTTGAGGCAAGAATTACCTTTATCAGATTTGGACTTTAACAAAGCAACTGGAAAATAAGCTTCTGGTCTTTGAATACAGGTGCATTGCAGGTGCTTGGAACTTAATGCAATGGTAAAACATCATTGTAAAAAGAGGTTCAGAAGAGAATAGGTTAAGAATGCAAGGTAGATGTTAAGAGGTTGCAATAGACAGGGCACACGTGCAGGATGGAGAAGGGCAGGTCACCAAGATAGGCATTGGAGTGGCATCCTGCAAACGCAAACATTGCAGGTTGGATATCGCCCATGCAAGAGCCGAGGGTTCGAGCAGAAGCGATGGCAAAGGAATGGCTTCATCACCAGCAACTGCCTTGACAAGCCGAATTGGATGTTATCCCGGATGGTTAAGATTACTTCCAGTGGGAAAGCCCCTTTTTAAAACAAAACCTCACCTCAACACTGACAACACCCCTTGGTTAAAAAACCTCTGCCTCATTCTGTGGGCAGCCGAAGAGCCAGACCTCAGCGGTTATTAACGATAACAGACATAACGTTTACATTAATTCACCTCGCTCAGTTCTTTCCCTCCGGTGAGTAATCGCACAGACCGCGCGTTCACTCCGTCCCAGCATCTCAATCAGCAGACTCTGGTCTGACCACATTTCGACAATGCCATTCAAAATGCGTTACAAATTGTACATTCTCCCTTGCCAGAGGTCAATCTCTCCATGCCGACGACCACCATGGACTTCTCACAAAGTGGTACTTATTTTTTTTTTACATGGAGTTGAGGGTGGGCTGATTCGATGGCCCCCAGTGAGGTGAAAACTCGCAGCTGCCCAATGGGAGAGGTTGTCTCTCCGACCACTGAATCACCCAGCTGAAATGTCACAAGTCATCTCGTAAAATTGACATCTCAGTCAGGTGCCTAGCAACTCGCTCGCAATTCAACAATAAAAATCACGTGCAGAAATATTTCTGGGGGAAGGGTTTCTAAACTTAAGTCCTCGAGGTATACCCTCTAATCAATTTCTCTGTTCGGTGACCACATGCTGCGTGCCGCCTCGTGTTTGGCAAACACATGACACACACGCAAGACCTCAATATTAATTTCAAGTGGCGCTCTCTAGCAATGAGCACAGGACATGTTTATCGATCATCCGGTGCATGCAGCGTGCGACAGTCGAATTTGTACCCGAACAAGAAAACAAAAGACTGGCAAACGTGGAAAGGTGGAGGACGGCGAGGGCTGGAGTTTGTGGAACCGCACGTGAAGGAACAGTCCCAACGTTGCCAACATCCATCATGAGCACGGACTGTACAGCAGCCGGTGAACCAAACTGTACGCAGAGCTGAATGGTCGATGGGTATGCACGTCCAATGAACGCATAGTTGCAAGTAGGGGAGTACCGATGCATGGATTTGTCAATCAAAATTTAATCTTAACAATTGCGTAAGGACCGATGTTTTTCAATTCACGTTGCCTCCAAGTCATTAGAGGCCCTATCATTCACTGCAATGTAACAAAATATATTTTTCATTAAATCGGGATTCTGAATTTAGTGATAATTGCATTGCCATGTGACAATTTTATAACCATAGTTGTAAAGGCCTTTCAGCCGCTATTTAAATTACGACTGTACGTATATTGCACGACAAAACGATGGTTGTTGGGAGACACGTGTATTGCTAAAATTGTTACTTCGAGAATCTAATATTTTCATGTGGTCGTAACTCTTGAGCAGTGTGCGAAGCAATGGGAGAGAGAGCGCACCATGTATGTGCTAGAAAACATTGGCGACATTGAACAATCCTTGAGGCCGACCGCTCAGATGAAACCCGCTGGGTGTGCACGTCCCAGCAGACACTACATGCGCTGAAAGACTGGCCTCTCAAACGCGCGCGCGCACGTGTGTACGAGGATGCGTGCGTCGAAGGATTTAAGCGGTGTTGAGGGCTCCGCCAAACGGCCTTCACTTAATTTCACCTACAGAGCTGAGCATTTTGCTGGCAAGAGCTCCGCACTGCAATGGGAATGCCGGACACAGACGAGAACCATAGATTGGCTCGTACACTCCTATCCCTACGCTTGCTCGCTTTGACACTCGTTCTCTCGCATGATCTCACTCGCACACGCTCCTTCACCTACGCCCAAATGATTGAATAAATCTCTGCCAAAGACCAAATAATCCTAAATGTGCCTGAGCTCATCACGTATCGGTTGACTACATGGATGAATTTGCCCATTCACCCACACTCACCTAGCCATCACTGGCCCGTGGTCTCCCGCCCATCACTCGCTACAATAGAAACACGATTTACAAAGCGTCTAAATAAAACTGCCTCTCAAGATACTTTACAAGCATCAGGGGCAGCATTCATACGAGAGATGGAGAGGCGCAGGAGGGAATGAGACTGCAGAGCAGCCACGATGGGAATGAAGCGTACGAGGGAGAGAAACAGTCATATGTAGAAAGTTTCAAGCCTTAACTGAAACAGGGTGGGGGCGCATTCGTGTGGTTGTCAGACAGAGGAAGTTCCAGACCATAGGGACAGCAGGGATGGCAGTGGAGGAGTGAGTCCCCACCCCAACGATGATGAAAAGGTTGAGAGGAAGTCACTCGCCCCTCACCCACTCATCTCAGGCACACTCTCCACCCTCCCATTCACTCACTCCTCACTCGCGACGCCTCCCACCCCCTTTGCTCGCTATCTCCTCACTTGTCCCCACTCCTTTACTCACCCCCCACATCCTCCATCATCACCTCACCCCTTCCCCCACCTCTTCTCCTTCCCCCATCACTCCACTGGCGTAGCACAGTTCTCCATTTTGCCATCTTCCAGCGGAAGTGACGAGGAAGAAGACGACGAGGTGAATGGGGTAGACAAGGCGAGGTCAGATGTCCCGCCCTTCATGGGCATCGTCGCCGCTGCCCCCTCTTCTTCCTCCTGCTCCTCCTCCTCCTCCTCCTCTTTGCCGTCGTTGGCATCTGGGGCGGCCGAGAGCGGGGTCTCTGGTCCTCCCGTCTCGAGTGGCAGCTGGGACCGGCACGATGCCGACGACGGTGATGACGACGATGATGGCTCTGGCTGTGGCTGAGAAGGAGGAGGCGGCGGCGATGCCGGTTGCTCCTCTTGCGTGCGCATCCTCTTCAATGGGGGTGCCACCTCATCCTCCAGCACCTGCTGGGGTAACCAGCGTATGTGTGCGCACACGATAATAAGGATGAGTTGATGGCTCTCTCATAGACATCGATACACTTGTATGCATGTATGTTGAACTTCTTTCGCACCGTATGTAGCTGATAGTGCGAACCGAAGGTGCGGGGGGGGGGGATAACAAACGAAACACAAAAAGCACTTCGAAATAAATTATTTTTCTAGACTTAAAAGTGCAGAGCTCCCAGTGGCTTCCTAATATCGGAAGAGCGTTCCAAAGCTTACGCATATCTGTATAGCCTACCCAGGCAGTTAGGGAAAGTTCCATTAGCATGCACCCTTTAAGGTTGCCACGGCACACAATGGGGTGGTTGTGACGCTAACACCACACCCAGCCGCTTTCTCCCCCACTGCAAATGTTTACACACCGCACCAAGTACTCATTTTTAAAGCCGAATCGACCTCAAGGAGGGCCCAGGACCGGTTCGGATATTCACATCCTGTAGATAGCCTTGAACCAAACATAGGTCACTGGGTTCAGAGAGCACTGCGAAAACCACCATTCTACCCATAGCGCGCACAAAACAAAGACAAATATCCCAAATATCGCCTTAAAAGACTGTTGAGGCAAGTGCTGTTAGCGAGCACCTACAAAGGCCAGCACGGCATACGAGGGGGTGGTTTGCCAACACCACGCATGGCCGCCTTTGTCTGCCTAGTGACAGTGTTTACACATCGCACCAAGTACTCATTTATGGCTGAGTCGACATAGTGGAGGCCGAGGACCAGTTCAGATAATCGTCAGTGGTGTTGGCCATGAGTGGGAATCGAACCCGGGTCGCCCGATTCGTAGCACAACGCGCTAACCTCAACAATACCGCTCCACACACACACACTCGGAAATACACACAACCAATAATAATATTAACAGCCGCCAAGTGGCGCCATGTTGCGCCGATATCAACGAGGCGCTTGCGCCAGGCTAGGTAACCCTGTTAAGGCGTGTTGAGAGATAAAAGGCCTCGCAGCCGCCTGTGTAAGTTCCGGAAGGGACGTATCTTCGGCCCCGACACGGGAACGACAGCAGCTTGGCCACGATAATGAGCGTCCTATTGTGGGTGCTGTGTGTTCAGCGGATTTCAGCCGACGCTGGGCAATCGAGAACTCAAGACTCCTGGAGGAGAGGTCGTGTTCGCCCTCTGTGCCACTAAGGGTTTATTAAAAATAGTAAGTCTTACGTCAACATGCACGTGCGCGACCATGCACACGCAGAGTTGACACGCGCACACATGAACGAGCATCTAAAACATGCGCGCACACAAGCATGTACAAACGCAGAGCAACACGCGCACAAAAAAATACGCATGCACATGAATACGCATTCAATAGTGCAAACACAAAACACTAAGACATGCACATGTACAAAGATCCACCCGTGTAGCATTAACAGACTGTTGGGGCAAGTGCTGTTAGCGAGTAGCACCTATGAAGGCTAGCACGGCACACGAGGCGGTGGATGGCCAGCACCATGCCGGGTCACCTTTATACATAAGTGTACAAAGACAAAGATCCCCCGTATAGCCTAAAGAGACTGTTGGGGCAAGTGTGCTGTTTGCCAGCACCTATGAAGGCCAGCACGGCATACAAGGGTGACCAACACCATGCCCGGCTGTGGGAATGTTTACACACCGCACCAGGTACTCATTTGAGGCTGGGTCGACCTAGGGGAGGCCCAGGACCAGTTCAGATATTCGTCACTGGTGTTGGCCGTTAGCAGGAACTGAGCTCAGGTACCGGGTTCGTAGCGCAGAGCGCAAACCGCTACACTACCGCTCCCCACACACGTGTATACACACGCACACAGACATGCACAAGAGCACACATTCAAAGATCTGCACGCTACACAAGTGTACACATATGCACCACCAGACAGATGTATACACAGACAAGCATATGCATACACACACGCAGAGACACCATACACAACCGCGTTCATTCACGCAAGTGGACACTAAAACAGGTGGACACAACACAAGCATGAGGGAGCACAAGCAAAGACAACACATACGCACAGACAAGCAATTGCACATGTGTATGTTCAACACACAAGCGTGCGTACAATCACTTGCACGCACACGCACAAGCGTGCACTCGCACACAAACATACATATGAAAGCACGCACACGTATACACACTGCACATGCAAGCACACACACACAACCGAGCCACAACTACCACCACACACCGTGTCAGCTGTTCAGAAACGCTCTTCTTAAAAATAATCATTGTAATAATTAAATAATGCCTTGCGTGGCGCCCCCGTCACAGCGAGTGTCAAATTCGCCTCCGAGTGCTGATGACGCGAGGCAGCTGGTACACACGCATGTCCGTACGCACACCAACACACGCACGTGTGGTGGGGGCGCAGAATTATCCTCAGGAATTCGTGTTCCTGCGACTGCTACAATGCTAACAAGCCGAGCCCGAACTCTAACCCTAACAAACCGGGCCCCGTGGGTCCGAGTGTGGGCGCGTATGGGCGTTTTATGGGCCCGTGTGTGCTTTGTATGGGTGGTATGTAGTGTGCATTCTCTTTATGTGTATGTGTGATTGATTGTGTGGATGTGTGTGTATGTACACCTAGGCGCAAGTGCGATGGTGATGTCACCACCACGTCGTGGCGAACGGCGTTTTTTTTTGTTGTGTGTATATATTTGTGCGTGCATAAAGAGTGGCTCGTGGTCGTGTTGTGGTTAGCACACCAAGCTAAGAACTCGGCAATCAGAGTTCGACTCCCACTCACGACCAATAGGAGTGGCGAATATCTGTACTAATATTTGACCTCTTCAAGGTCGAGTACCTGCTGCAGTATGTAAACATCAGCAATGGAGAAACAAAGGCGGCCATGTGTGGTGTTGGCCACCCACCCCTTTGTGTGCCGTGCCGGCCTACATGAGTAGTCGCTAACAGTATGTGCCCCAACAGTCTGTTAAGGCTATACAGGGGATCTTTGTGTGTGCATGTGTGTGCATGTGAGATGGATGGAGCGACGTGGTACAGGAGGACGTGGAGCTGAGTGGGACTTGCCGATGACTGGTACCAGCGGTGTCAAGATCGGCCTCTGTGGAGGAGGCTCGTGAAGGACGCTACTGGGCAGTTGGGAGGCAGTCGCCCTCCAACAACAACGGAGGGCGGAGGAGCGACGCTCACAACAACGAGCGGAGCGCCGGGTGGCTAAAGCACAGCAGGTTGGCATAGTAGGGGGCACAAGTGGTGCATCAGCCAGTCATCTCAGTCAGTCGACCCGTGGCACCTGGGTCTGCCCCGTGACCTCCTGCCAGCGGGCGTTCGACACTCCAAGTGGCCTCAATGTGCACATGGCCTGGCACAAGCGTCGTGGTGACATCACCGCCACTTAGTGGCGAATGGCGGTTGTTGTGCATGTGTGTGCATGTGTGTGCGTGTGTTCCTCCTTGTAGTATTATAGACTGTCGGGGCAAATGCTCCTGGCAAGCACCTATGAAAACTTAACTAAATGGTGCCATCACGTGACAGGCAATGAATGATGGGAGGACTGATCTAATAGTCACAATCTTGTCTCTTTCACATTTCTAGCCTGCAAGTAACTTTTCTGAGTTTCTCATGAATTAAAGTGTTGAAATTGAATCTAATAGGTGTCTATTTGGTATTTGAACATCTTAACACTTGTATTATCGCTGGAATCGGTAACGCCTATTCATGTTTCATCTTAGTAATGGAATTTGGTTTAGCTTTAGTAGGTGTTTGCCAGCAGCGGTGTTCGCCCCAACAGTCTATAAGGCGACATAGGGGATCTGTGTATAAGGCATAATAGGTTTGATAGAGGTCGCAATCAATCCTGTTGCCATCCGTAAATCACCTTTTTCATGTACTATTGTTACGGCTAAAGTTGACACAGAAGATGAAGGAGTGGCGTTCCCTTTGTCTCACTAAAGCCGATATTTACACAGCTCACACCTGATACGGGTTACGAAAGAGTAACATCACCCACTGCACTACGATGCCAGCAGCTTTGGTTTAACTTCTGGTCAAAGACAACAGTGATACCTCACTGTCCTGTACCTCTCTCCTTTGCATTATAAGAGCACGAAGGCGACAAAAGTGGTGGCCATACCAATCCCATGTGCCAAGCCGGTATTAATAGGTGCTCACTAACACCACTCAATCCTACAGTCTATAATACTAAATGGGAAGGTGTGAATGTGTATTTTTTGTGTGTGTGTACCTGTGTAGTGTGTGTACTTGGGGCAGTGTGCTCATGGCAGCTCTGGTTTGGCGGTGGAGGTCTTGTTCCCAAGTGTAACGATCGGTTAGTAATTTTAACGTGTGCCCTACACTGTGCAAAAGTTGCCTGGTGTGCCTCTCCACATAAAGCGTCAGCTATTTCACGGCCACAATCTGGTCCTCTCAACTCTATGCTTATAATGCATGGACTCTATAAACCATTTCCCGTTCCGAGATGACTGCAAGTTGCAGGATGGGTCCCATTCACCTCTGAATCTCAGAACGTGCAAGCGGTTCAGAGGTGTAGCGCTAGTGTAGCGCTATTGTTTTTAAAGACAATGTACTCACCGCAGAGAACTATTAGTGACACGACCGCACTCTATTATGGCTGGCGCCAATCTGTGCCAAATGCCCTCCCCGCGTGGCCTTGTGGCAGCCTCGGTACCGATAAAGTTATTTGATTTTTTCTTCCGGTTATATTCCCTATGGAATCAAACAAAAAACTGACGGAATACACGTATGACATTGGAACGGATTAAAAGAACACCTGTGCCAGCTTTAAAGATTCAAGCTGACCTGACTGCACTCCATTCTCGGTATATCCGGACTGAACTGTGTAGGGATCTCTCACAGCACTCATGACCGGCTCCGGTTTGGCAGCGGAGGTCTCACTCCGAATCAGTCCAGCGGCAATATCTTTTCATCGGTTGCGTAACGCTGTGTGGAAGCTGCCTGTTCTGTCGCTCCGCACGAAGCGTCAGGTCATTCCCTCCCTTCTCTACGCTTGCGAAACGTGGAGCCCCCAAATGGAGCATCTTCGCCGATTAGAAACATTTAGGCTGGCCTGCCTACGATCCATCCTGGGTTTTACCAGGCTGGATTGTGTGAGGAGCTCACAAATCCTTGAAAGATCTGGGAAAAGTCCCATCGGTGAGCTCCTCCGGCAGGCAAGACTGCATTGGCTGGGTCATGTAGCCCGTATGCCCAGCCACCGCATGCCTAAACAGCTTTTGTTCGTCCGGATCGAGGGGGCTAAACGGGCGCAGCACGGGCTAGAGAAGAATTGGAGTGATGTGGTACAGGAGGACGTGGAGCTGAGTGGACTTGGCAATGACCGGTACCAGTGGTGTCAAGATCGGCCTCAGTGGAGGAGGCTCGTGAAGGATGCAACTGGGCAGTTGGAGGCAGTCGCCCTCCAACAACAACGGAGTGCGGAGTGACGCTCACAACAACGAGCGGAGTGCCGGGTGGCTAAAGCACAGCAAGTTGGCACAGTAGGGGACACAGGTGGTGCATCAGCCAGTTATCTCAGTCATCTCTGTCAGTCGACCCGTGGCACCTGGGTCTCCCCCGTGACCTCCTGCCAGCGGGCTTTCAACACTTCACGTGGCCTCAAGGTGCACATAGCCTGGCACAAGCGTCGTGGTGACGTCACCGCCACTTAGTGGCGAATGGCGGTTGTTGTTGTATCTAAGGCAAAGTGATGTAGTGTTTAACGCACTGCGCTACAAACTCAGCGGACCAGAGGTTGATTCCAAGTCATGGTTAACGTGAATTGTGATATCATTATTGGTAGTGAGTCTCCCCTCTATCAAATCAGCCTGAAATGAGTACCTGTTGTGGTGTGTATACATCAACACAGGAGAAAAAATAGCGGCCAGGCACTGTGCTGGCCAAACCACGTGTGGCATGCTCGCCTTAATAAGTGCTCACAAATAGCGCTTGCTTATATGGTTTATATATGTTACACAGGAGATGTTTGCCTTTGAATAGTGTACACTGTATGGTGTGTATTAGTCAGTGTGTGTGTGTGTGGAGCGGTAGTACAGTGGTTAGCACACTGCGCTACGAATCCGGCGACCCGAGTTCGATTACCGCTTACGGCCAACATCCGTGACGATCATCTGAACTGGTCCTGGGCCTCCCCAGCCTCAAATGAGTACCTGGTGCGATGTGTAAACATCGCAACTGGGGAGACAAACGCGCCCAGGCATGGTGCTGGTCACCCACCTCCTAGTGTGATGTGCCAGCCTTCATAGGTGCTTGCTAACAGAACTTGCCTCAACAGTCTGTTAAGGCTTTACGGGGGATGTTTGTCTGTTATCTGTCTCACCTGTCCGTGTAAAAAGATGGGGTGTGGCTCCTCCTTGGTGAGTTCTGGAGGATGCTCGTAATCTGGCACAGACATGGCTGCTTCTATAAGAACACACAGCACATGCAATAGACACAATAAAGACACACACGTATCAAATACAAATTCTGCATGTAACAGTATTACGCATATACACTCACATACACAATGGTCAGTGCTTTTCTACCCGATTGTGTGTGTTGTCAAAATGTACACTCGTGTTACTGTAGAGTTTGCTTGCTACTCTCGTGTGTTGGGTTTTTTATTACATTATTCCACTAGTGTTTGTTAAAGAGTGTCACCATAGTGTTTGAGTGTTACCATCATGAGTTACCATCTGTGTGATTTACTATCGTTTGAGTCACTCCAATGTTATTTTAGAGTTTGTCACTATAGTGTGTTTGTATTACAACAGCAAAGGTCCAGCCCTTTAATTGCTTGTTCACGACACTGTTGGCAGAAGGGTCTCCCCACTAAAGGGAACTCAAGAGAGCCACTGTAGAGGGTATTTGGCCTATTGTTCTACCTCTTACAAGGTCGGGAATTATAAGGTCATGCTCATTACACGCCAAGTGCTTGCCACAAACGAACCACAACACCTTGCTAATCTTCTCAAGGAGCATAAACCATCACGCAAACTCCGGTTATCCTCGCAGCGGCTTCTGGCTAACCATCGAACAAAGACGGTCACTGCATCGCGCACTTTCAGATGCGCTTCTGCGGCCGTCTGGAACGCTCTTCCTTCCAATATTAAGGAAGCCACTGGATCTGTGCACTTTTAAATCTAAAACTGAAAACCCATTTCTTTAGAACTACTTTTTGTGTTTAGTTTGTTGCCCTTCCACCGCATCTCCGATTAGCAGAGTTGGCTATGTACGGTGCGAAAGAAGTTCAGACATAAGTACATACCCACACTTTACCCCCACCATACAAGGCCTGCCAATCCGGCTGCGGTTGTACCCATTTCTACTGATGGATGGACAGCGGCGGGGGAGATTTGCAAAACTTGCCCTATTATTTGAACTGCCGCGCCGGGAGATCAAATTGAACTTGCGATCTGAGGATTGCAAGTCAAGTATGCAAACCAATACACCACGGCAACATTAATGCTATAGTATTTGATAATAAAAACATGCTAAATTTCGATTTAAAGCTTTCGTGACTGCAAGGATTCATCTTCTTTGGTTCTTTCGGTAAAGTCACCACGTGGAATGAGAATAAACTAATAAAATAACACAATAAAATTATCACGACGTTTCGACTGTAACACAAACAGTCATCATCAGGTGTGAAAAACCAACGGCAAGAAGCATTTGAAAGAAGTGGCGGTTTGTATTTATTAATTTATTTTCAAGCGTTGCTTGTATTTAAGTAAATACAAAAATATGTATTTAATTAAATACAAACTGCCACTTCTTTCAAATGCTTCTTGCCGTTGGTTTTTCACACCTGATGATGACTGTTTGTGTTACAGTCGAAACGTCGTGAGAATTTTATTGTGTTATTTTATTATTTTATTCTCATTCTACGTGACGTTACCGAAAGAACCAAAGAAGAAAAAACATGCTAGTATGCACTTTTCCATTACTGACATGTGGTTATCGCTATACTGTGCATTTGTGCGCGTCTACTAAAGTGTGTGTTGTTAAAAGTGTGTTTATATTTGTGTGTCACGAGAATGTGTGTTTGTGTTTAAATAGTTTGTGACTAGCCTGACTAAAGTACGTATTTACGTTACCTGTCAATATATTATTTACTATTGTTTACTATCTCACGTGCAACTATAGTATGTCTGTTACTAAAGTGTGTGTTACTAGTGTGTGCCTATTGTACATAATACTTCAGTAGGCACTACTATCGTTTTTAAGTTACCAAAGTCTGTGTAAATATTGTGTGTGTGTGTGACTACAGTACGTGTTTGTGTGTCACAGTGCATCGTGATAGCACAGAAGTTCGCGCACTGCGCTATGAACCTGGCGACCCGAGTTCGATTCCCGCTCGCAGCCAAAACCAGTGAAGATTAGCTGAACCGGCCCTGGGCCAACCCGAGGTCGACTCGGCCTGAAATAAGTACCTGATGCGGTTTGTGAACATCTCCACTCGAGAGACAAAGACGGCCAGGCGTGGTGCTGGCCACCCACCTTCCCATGTGCCGTGCCGGCTTTTATAGGTGCTCGCTAACAGCACTTGCCTCAAAATCGTGTTTAGGCTATAACGGGGGATTGTTGTTTTGTTACCATAAGTGTATGTGTTACTGTTGTGTTTGTACACCACTGTGTGGTTTTGTGTTACCATCATCTCCGAGAGCCGGGGGTTGGCTTGAAATGTCTCTTCCAGGACTGGAACACCCACTAATATCGTTACTGTTCTCCTCTACACAATGACACAACAACAACAAAATAATGAATGTGTGAAGATAACATTAATACGTCAACACTCACACAAGTCAAAGCGTATCCCCCTAGGGCTGGGACAAATTAGTCAACTAAGTCGATTAATTGACTAAATATTGTCACGGACTACTTTTTTGTGGTCGAGTACTCAGTCTCATTTTAAAAATGGTGGCCGCTTGGACAGGAAGCATCTTGAAGGTGAAAAACTGCCCCCATAAACTAAAAAAAAAATCTATTTTTTATTTTATCAGGTAAGGCCCACCGAGCTACATAAGCTCTTTTTCAGAAGCAACTTGGCGACAAATGATAGCTCAACAAAGTGGCTTATCGTGTGGAAATGCGTAGCAGCCAAAGAAGCTTAAATGCACGTTTCTAAATATGGAGGGAAAAACTCGGAGGACCTGCAGGAAAATACACGCGACCACGGAGAGAGAGACAAGCAAACTCTAAATATACGGGGGGCATGGTCAGGATCAAACCCACAAAACCTCCTGAATACCTGATGAGGTAGTTAACATCTTACCACTGCAGCGAGATGTTAAACTATGATGGCATAAAGGTGATAACAAAAACACGCAGTCTAACGCAGATGATGCCGACGACACAACATATGCAATGCTCATCATGTCCAGTCCAGCGGCAGATGTGAGAGAAGAGAGGCGAGACTATTTTCATCCAATTATTTTCATGTTATTCGAGTAATGAAACCGATAATCCGTAATCGATTACTCAAGCAATCAGAGAGCACAGGTCATGTCTCCCTGCTCAAACAATCAATGTGGCAACACTTATTGTTCTCGGTGGCCAGTGGTGAAAATTCCATATTCTCATGGCAGGGACTAAGTTCATCCACAGGACAACTACTGCTGCTTTCCCACAAAGTGGTACTCATTTTATTTACCTCAGATGGATGATCTAATCTAATTTATGTTTATAGAGCGACTTCACTTACAGCGCTTGACATAAGCTTACAAAACGGTGACAGCATGGAATGATCTAGTTGACAGAGGCTTACAAGAATTGAGGAATGAGTGACAGTGATAGAGAGTACTTAGGGCTTACGAAAGGGTAGGGGAGGGATGGAAAGGAGTGGCGAGGAAGAGAATGGGCAATAGATAAGAGGCGAGGGCTTTAAGAGAGGAATGGGAGGATTTTAAGGAGGGCGACTGCTTCATGTACAAGGGAAGTTAATTCCAGTGGAAGGGTGCAAGGAGGGAAAAAGAATCGAAAACGGGATTGTGCACAGGGAGGGGAGACAGAGATAGACAGAACATTGGGAACGAACAAAACGAAGGGGTATGGAAGGGAATGAGATAGGCACAATAAGGTTGGGCAAGGCCGTGTATGATCTTCCACGTGCAAGCAGTATTCTGAGCATCGAGAAATCGATGCACGAGTTGGTTCAATAACACAAGCCTCACGTCGACAAAGTGGCCACAAGATGGCAGAATAGCCAAGTGTTTCTTATTCTAACCGAGGGGGGTCGACAACCTTTTAAAGAAGCGCCATTTTTTTGTTTTTGTCTCTGACCAACATAGTTCGAGAGCCGCATCACGCGAACAGCTACTTGTAGGCAACAGCAGATATACAGACGATGACAAACATTCTGCCTTAAATAAATTAAATAGGTGATGGAATAAACTGTCTCTTTAGTTCCCCCCCCCCCTTAAGTAATTCTTTACCAATAAAGTTTGACTGTACAATTTGTCGTCACCAAGACGTTTCATAGTGACCCACTCCCTGCCAAATTTAATCAATTATGTTTACGTTAAATTATGTTTAATACTTACGGGTTTATTTTTTTTTTATGGCTGCCCGCATGCAGTTCTTTGGCTGCGGAGCCGCAGGTTGCAGACCCCTCTTCTAACTGCTCCGAGCTTTCAGTGCTACCCCTCCCTACACGCGAGTCTTCTCCAGATACAAAACGGTCACTCCATTCTTTTGTCCAAAAAGAGTTGCCACAGTTGCTCGTGGACAATGCATTACTGATGTTTGCCATTGGCCAAAAAAAAGGGCCCAATAAAATCATCACGGCCTTAGCAGATGCCACTCTTATAAAGGCATAGCACACACGGGTCTGCAACCAAAATAATAGCAATTTTTTTCTAATTCCATAAAAAAAATAAACCCGTAATATTTCAAGAGCCGCAATGCATGTGAATAAGAGACAAGGGTCCTTCACAAATTACGTCACGGATCAGTCCTTAAAGAACCGCATGCGGCTCGGGAGCCGACCACTTGGTGGTATTGCGTGTAAAGACTGCCGCCTAGTGGTATAGAAGCTTGCTGAGCAAGTGGGAACGACTAACGCAGCGCATTGCAACCCCAATCCAGCACAAATACTCTCTCGACCACTCCAAACAGCCCCCCCGCTCTTGGCATCCACAAGTTGCTTGGACGTATAAGTCAAACTACGTTGGAAATTATCCCGGGCATGTTCTCTCCTTTGGCTGCCACTCAATTGTTAGTCTCGACCACCATAATCTCTTCTAGCCAGGTGCCCTGTCCAAGTCCCCCCCCCCCCTTAACTTTTCGAATCACTCCATATTAAACACCCGTTTCACCTCGACTATCTTGGTTTAAAAGAAAATACCAAACCATTCTTGGAAATTAGCTGTTAACTTTTGAAAGGAGGCACTCTCTGTGCCAGTTATTGCCGGAGGCAGTTTTGGCCAACAGTCAAGAACTGTAGGTTAAAACAATTTAAATGGTGGCAGCTCTTGCGGTTATTATACGAAAGTCTAGAAATTGCGTAAATACAATGACACTGGCATCATAAAACTAAGTGTTGCGATGTGTCCTCTGCGTGTAGAATGGAGTGTACAGACACACCATTGGCCTACAGGAGGCTACAGAGTTCTTTCTTAGAAATTTGTCATGTATAGTATTCATTCCACTGCCTGTGGACCCAACCAGAAAGACTTTTACCCCTCTCCCACCCTCCCCCCCCAAAGGGGGGCACGGCCCACGGATTGAGAATCGGTGCACAAAGGAACTAACAGCAACAACACACCCGATTTTTTCCAGGTGTAATTGGATTCACGATTAATATCAATTAAGGCGCACCATGTAGAAGTTACATGCTTTTACATTTCGGCGAATGCAGTGAACAAAACTGTACATACGAGAAAGAAAACATATCGTAACAAATTCATCGAATCACTGGGAGGCTGAATCGTCACATCCATAAGCAATACCATCATTAGCACTATGGTGACGACTACCACCACAAGACTACTACCACCGTTTCCACTACCCAAATATAACCAGTGCCATCACCTATACCAGTTCTATCAACATTACCTGCATCACCTCCACCATCACAACTGCAACCAATACCATCAAGAACACCACTATTACCATAATTAGCACCACCACCAACACCACACCTAAACTACCATTACAACTAGATTCTACATTCACGACCGCTTTGTCAATACCACCAGCACCTCACCATAATCACGAACTTCATTACCAAAACCACAATAGCCATCACCACCACCATCACCTCCAGGATTACTGCTGGATTAATAAGTCTTAATTTTGATTTAAAACTTTCGTGACTGCAGGGATACATATTCTTGGTTCTTTCGGTAAAGTCACCACATAGAAGGGAAACAATAAAATTATAAAAATAAAACAATAAAATTCTCACGACGTTTCGACTGCAACACAAGAAATCATCATCAGGTGTGAAAACCACAGCAAGAAAATTTGAAAAAAGTGGCGTTTAAAAAAACGCCACTTTTTTCAAATTTTCATCATCAGGTGTGAAAACTTGAAAAAAGTGGCGTTTTTTTTTAAACGCCACTTTTTTCAAATTTTCTTGCTGTGGTTTTCACACCTGATGATGATTGCTTGTGTTGCAGTCGAAACGTTGTGAGAATTATATTATTCTCTATTTTTATTATTTTATTGTTTCCCTTCTACGTGACTTACCGAAAGAACCAAGAATAAGAGCCTTAATGTTAGGGATCAGGGTACGAGCTGGTGACAAGGTTAGGATAAACGATAGTATTAGGTTAGGGTCAAGATTAATGTTATATTCAGGGTAAGTCAGATTAGACCAGGGTAAGGGTTATGGCCATTGTTAATGTCGATCAGGTACAGGGTTAGGATCATGTTAATGTAATGGATAGTCAGTAATAATGTATGAATGTATGTTGAACTTATTTCGCACCGTACTTAGCCAACCATGCTAATTGGACATGCAGGGGAAGGTTTGGGTGGGTGGTTGGATGAGTGCATGGATGAGTTGGTTGATTTGGGTGGACGGGTGGGTTGATTGGATGGGTGGTTGGGTTTGTTGGTTTTGATCGGTGGTTAGCTGGTTGGTTTCGTAGTTGCGTTGATGGGTGTGTTGTTTTGTACTGGCGGTTTTGTTTAGGTGGGTAGCTATAGATGGGCGAGTTGGTTCACGCAGGTGGATTAAATGGGTAACATGAGTGGGTGGGTGAGAGATTGGATGATTGACAGAGTGAATCAGTGGATGGTTAAGTTTGTGAGTGGGTAACTGACAATGACTGGGTGTGTTGTTGTGACCTGCAGTATGGTGGCTGAACCCTTTGTGGATAAGATGAAGTCTTATCGACAGAGTTTTCAACATAGGAGGAGGAATCAAGGAGTTAAGTTCACGGGATAGTGGTTTGATGGATGGTGTTGGTTCACATTGGCATGTGAAAACCTACACTGTGCTGGCGACGGTGGTTGTGTTCTACACAGCAGCGGCCAGATCATTAAACACGACCAAACTTGCTAATTTCCCATCACACACGACACGAAGGCCCCAAAAGATAGCCCACGTGGCCCAGCTCCAGTGGCATATTTCCAACTGTTCTATCAGTGGCATCAGGTCCCCCAATTCCTACTAACACCACGGAGATCTTCGCACTAGGAAAGAACGATTTGGGGAAAATATCTAATTGCGATTATTCTGACAGATATAGCGATTTGATTTGCGATTAATTTTTTTAAAGTTAAGCTTCAGTTCAATATTCACTGTGTAATAGATTTAAAACATGTGATGGAGCATTACCACATGATACCATCAAAATATGAACTGCTCTATATATTCTAATGCAAGGATGATAACTTTAAAGCTATGAATTGCTTCCAACATGTATTTATTAAAATTTTGTATTGAAATAGAACAATCAAATGTAGAAAAATTGTTAAGTTAAATCAAGTTATAATACAAAACAAAAAATTTCAATACTAGGACTTTTAAAATAGAAAAAAATCGCAGCCTTTGCTATTTCCTAATCGCATTGTTTCAAATTGCGATTTTGATTTGAAATTGATTCATTGTTCAGCCCTACTTCACAGCCTCCTCTGCCTCTTAATGTCAGGGTTAGAGCGAGTGTTAATGTCAGGGTCAGTATTATTGTCAGGGAAAGGGTCAGTGTCAATATCAGGGAAAGGGTCAGTGTCAATATCAGGGTAGCGTCAGTGTCAATGGCAGGGGTAGGGTAAGTGTTAATGTCGGATGTCAAGATATAGAATCCTAGTGAAGACGGGCTTAAGCTCGAACCTTGGTACTCAGTCATGAGTGGAGAGGAGCTGTTTTCAGGAGACGTGTGGGCAGACAGGGACAGGGATTTTCCTTGAACCGGCCTGCGCGTTTTCTGCATGCACACACATACACACTTCTATAAACAAAGATTCCCCCATGTAGCCCACTCAGAGAGTAATGGCAAATGCTCTGACCATGCACCGAATAATGCTGGCAGGGGACACGACAGGGTGGTGTGTTAAGCACACAAAGACAAAGATCCCCCTTATAGCCTTAACAGACTGTTGGGGCAAGAGCTGTTAAGAGGGCACCTATGAAGGCCGGAACAGCACACGAAGGGGTGGGTGGCCAACACCACGCCCAGCCGACTGTCTCCCGAGTGTTAATGTTTACACACAGCACCAAGTACTCATTTGAAGCTAAATCGACCTAGGGGAGGCCCAGGACTGGTTTAGATAATCGTCACTGGCGTTGGCCGTGAATAGGAATCGAACTCGGATTGCTGGGTTCGTAGCACAGTGCGCTAACCGCTACACCACCGCTCCCCACGCTCACACTGTCACACACTCGCTGGTGCGAGTGTTCTGGGGATCAGCAGTGTGCCCCCAAACATTGTCCCCTCACTGGGAGGATCCGTCTCTCTCTCCACTCTCTCCATACCCTTTACAGCTGGTTGGAAGCAACCAAATATTAAACACATTAACATAGGCTTGCAGTGGGTAAGGCTTCACGAACCTGTCTTTGTAATTTTATGCCATGTTATATCAGAAAAGTCTATGTCCAATCAGAACGCAGCAGTCCACTGAGAGGCTGAGCCAGTTAGCAAGATTCACACGCAGGGCCGGCTTGTTTTCCACCGATCATGGAAATGTGCCATGGTGACATCATTGTCCCACCGACTATTTGCCAAGCCGAGCCAGAAGCAAGCTGTGAAACTCTGGCCTCACAGGACACATGAATCTGGCTCCGAGGCCAAGCGGGGTGACGTCAGCAGCACGGCTCGTCTTGGGTTTTGCAGTGGGGAAAAAAAATACTCGTGTCATGCGGGGACCCAACAATCACCTCATGGGGTTTCCCATCCAGCACTGGCACCCACTTGTAGATGCGCAGTGACGTGTCTCCGACGGTCACCCACCGCTTCTCCCTGCACATGTACAATAAGAGGACGTGCAGAGGTGAAATCTCTGTGATTGGAGCTCACAGGGCAGACCCGGGTGCTGTGTGGATGGAGAGGTCAAGTTTCCCGATTGGACAGGTCATGGAGGTACAGACCAAGGTGCTGTTGGGTTTTCAACATAATGGTGGAGTTTTGTGTTTTTTAATTTTAATAGCCAATACATACTTTTAAAAACATTACTTATTTAACCAATTGTGATTCATTATGCCTTTGCAAAGCCTGTCATGTCTCCTTGTGTTTCCCCTGCCTCCTAGAGTCCCCGCGTCTTATTTTCAAATGTTCCTCCCCCATATTTACTAACATTCACGTTTCCCAGCACAATTTTCGACTCATGCCTTCCATCTATCCCTGCCGAAAACCAAACCAGCCAGAATGCGCCAGACCTCATCACATCTCAGAAGCTTATGAAGTGTAATCCCTGTTACTACAATGGGTGCCAGGTGTTGTAGGCTTAGGCTGCGTAAGTGACTGGGAGATGGCAGCAGGGCAACATTCTGAAATCCATCTGTACAGAGCTTTCAATGTAACCCTCTCTCGATCCCCAGGTATGTATCAGTCTTTTCCCAATTTCTCCAGTTTTTTCCCTCATGAAACCAGAAAATGGAAATGGCCAATCATCCCATTACACGGACCCTCCTCAACAAGTCTGAAGAGGCTCAGTGATGCCCTCCTTGTAATAAAAATGGCATTATTACGTATTCCTCCCACACCTCATCATACCTCTCTGTACGTCTCTTAAGAATTCCCATCTCACACGTGTGTTTGTATTTCTCTTGTCTAATCACGTCTCACCATTACATCCCATGTCTGCCTAAGACCTGCCCCTGTCATCCCATCCCTTATCCATGACCCGTGTCTTCCATCTCTCCCCGCATATCAAGAAGTGGCTTTTAAATTCGGAATAATCCTTCGTCCAACACCACAGCGTTAGACATACTCAGACAAACTGACTTTCATCTGGGATAGGAAGGTGCATTCAGTTTGTGTAAATAAGAAAGCATTGACTTGTACCATGAATAAGCCATGTTTTCTGAAATCACTGTTTTGACGACCTTTAAAATATCACCAGATCATGTATATAATTTTAGGATGATTGAGAATTGACTGAGGTCGCCAAATATTGTGGAACTGCCCATGTGTCCACCCACCAGCCTCCCCCCCATCTATCACCGTCTCCCCACATCTCTTACCCTCCCTGGCTCTCCCATCATCTCCCGCTGTCTCCCCCACATGTATCCCCTTCCCGCATCTCTTACTATTTATCAAATCAAGCAGTCTATGGTCAGCATGCCCCCGTCTTCCCATTTTTGACGTATCTCTCACCCCCCACCTCTGATCTCTAACCAAGTCCCGCAAAATCACTCTCCCCTCTATCCCGACCACCTCTCTCGTCTCACCGCGTCTCTCGCCCCCTGTTGTTCTCAGTGTCTCAATGCCTGCCCCCTCTCTTCCGTCAAACAATTAATGTCTCCTCTCCCCACCCCGTCTCCCAGTGCCTACCCCCCCTCTTTTTTCCATCTCCCAGCCTCTCTCTCTCTAACCCATGTCGCCTGTTACCCCCCCCCCCCGTCTCTCTCGCCATTCTCCCCGTGTCGCCTCCCTCCTCGTGTCTCTTTCGCCTGTCTGCCGCGTCTCTTGTCTGTCCGCGTCTCTCCCCACGTGTCTCTCGTCCGTCCGTGTCTCTCTCCCCGCGTCTCTCTCCCCGCGTCTCTCTCCCCGCGTCTCTCTCCCCGCGTCTGTCTCTCTCCTCGCGTCTCTCTCCCCACGTCTGTGTCTCTCTCCCCACGTCTCTCTCCCCACGTCTGTGTCTCTCTCCCCACGTCTCTCTCCCCACGTCTGTCTCTCTCCCCACGTCTGTGTCTCTCTCCCCACGTCTCTCTCCCCACGTCTGTGTCTCTCTCCCCACGTCTGTGTCTCTCTCCCCACGTCTCTCTCCCCACGTCTCTCTCCCCACGTCTGTGTCTCTGTCCCCACGTCTCTCTCCCCACGTCTCTCTCCCCACGTCTCTCTCCCCACGTCTGTGTCTCTCTCCCCACGTCTGTGTCTCTCTCCCCACGTCTCTCTCCCCACGTCTGTGTCTCTCTCCCCACGTCTGTGTCTTTCTCCCCACGTGTCTCTCTCCCCACGTCTGTGTCTCTGTCCCCACGTCTGTGTCTCTGTCCCCACGTCTCTCTCCCCACGTCTGTGTCTCTCTCCCCACGTGTGTCTCTGTCCCCACGTCTCTCTCCCCACGTCTCTCTCCCCACGTCTCTCTCCCCACGTCTCTCTCCCCACGTCTGTGTCTCTGTCCCCACGTCTCTCTCCCCACGTCTCTCTCCCCACGTCTCTCTCACCATCTCCTAACGCGGTCTATGGCCGCCATCACCCGCTTCATGTCGTCCTTGGCGCGGCTCCGCGTCTCCGCTCGCGCCGTGCGCCCCGACATGGCGGGTACGAGGAAGAGGCACACGGAGGAGAAGGCAGCGGAGGATGATGGAGGAGGAGGTGGTGGTGGTGGTGGTGATGAGGACGACGACGACGAGGAGGAGGAGGTGGAAGAAGATCGCGACAGCGCCGCCCGCGCCGAGAGAAGAAGTTGAGAGAAAGTTCGCGCTGCCTGCTGGGAAATCAACAGGCGTGACGTCACGGGCCCCGCGAGAACATGGCGCGACGCGCGTCACGTGACCGGAGGATTTTTTTTTGGGGGGGGGGGGAATGGGGGGAGAGATGGGAGATGAGAGGAGTGGGAGGAGAGATGGGAGATGAGAGGAGTTGGGGAGAGATGGGAGATGAGAGGAGTTGGGGAGAGATGGGAGATGAGAGGAGTGGGAGGAGAGATGGAAGATGAGAGGAGTTGGAGAGAGATGGGAGATTAGAGGAGTTGGGGAGAGATGGGAGATGAGAGGAGTGGGGGAGAGATGGGAGATGAGAGGAGTGGGGGAGAGATGGGAGATGGGGGAGTGGGGAGAGATGGGAGATGAGAGGAGTTAGGGAGAGATGGGAGATGGAGGAGTGGGGGAGAGATGGGAAATGAGAGGAGTGGAGGAGAGATGGGAGATGAGAGGAGTGGGGGAGAGATGGGAGATGAGAGGAGTGGGGAAGAGATGGGAGATGAGAGGAGTGGGGGAGAGATGGGAGATGAGAAGAGTTGGGGAGAGATTAGAGATTAGAGGAGTGGGGAGAGATGGGAGATGAGAGGAGTGGGGGAGAGATGGGAGATGGGGGAGTGGGGGAGAGATGGGAGATGAGAGGAGTTGGGGAGAGATGGGAGATGGGGGAGTGGGAGGAGAGATGGGAGATGAGAAGAGTTGGGTAGAGATGGGAGATGAGAGGAGTGGGGGAGAGATGGGAGATGAGAGGAGTGGGGGGAGAGATGGGAGATGAGAGGAGTGGGGGAGAGATGGGAGATGGGGGAGTTGGGGAGAGATGGGAGATGAGAGGAGTTGGGGAGAGATGGGAGATGAGAGGAGTGGGAGGAGAGATGGGAGATGAGAGGAGTTGGGGAGAGATGGGAGATGTGAGGAGTGGGGAGAGATGGGAGATGAGAGGAGTTGGGGAGAGATGGGAGATGAGAGGAGTTGGGGAGAGATGGGAGATGAGAGGAGTGAGGGAGAGATGGGAGATGAGAGGAGTTGGGGAGAGATGGGAGATGAGAGGAGTGGGGGAGAGTTGGGAGTTAAGAGGAGTGGGAGGAGAGATGGGAGATGAGAGGAGTGGGAGGAGAGATGGTAGATGAGAGGAGTTGGGGAGAGATGGGAGATAAGAGGAGTTGGGGAGAGATGGGAGATGAGAGGAGTGGGAGGAGAGATGGGAGATGAAAGGAGTTGGGAGAGATGGGAGATGAGAGGAGTGGGGGAGAGATGGGAGATGGGGGAGTGGGGGAGAGATGGGAGATGAGAGGAGTGGGGAGAGATGGGAGATGAGAGGAGTGGGGGAGAGATGGGAGATCGGGGAGTTGGGGAGAGATGGGAGATGGGGGAGTTGGGGAGAGATGGGAGATGAGAGGAGTTGGGAAGAGATGGGAGATGAGAGGAGTTGGGGAGAGATGGGAGATGAGAGGAGTGAGGGAGAGATAGAAGATGAGAGGAGTGGGGGAGAGATGGGAGATGGGGGAGTTCGGGAGAGATGGGAGATGAGAGGAGTTGGGGAGAGATGGGAGATGAGAGGAGTGGGAGGAGAGATGGGAGATGAGAGGAGTTGGGGAGAGATGGGAGATGAGAGGAGTGGGGAGAGATGGGAGATGAGAGGAGTGGGGGAGAGATGGGAGATGAGAGGACTGGGGGAGAGATGGGATATGGGGGAGTGGAGGAGAGATGGGAGATGAGAGGAGTTGGAGAGAGATGGGAGATGAGAGGAGTGGGGGAGAGATGGGAGATGAGAGGAGTGGGGAGAGATGGGAGATGGGGGAGTTGGGGAGAGATGGGAGATGAGAGGAGTTGGGGAGAGATGGGAGATGGAGGAGTGGGGGAGAGATGGGAAATGAGAGGAGTGGAGGAGAGATGGGAGATGAGAGGAGTGGGGAGAGATGGGAGATGAGAGGAGTGGCGGAGAGATGGGAGATGAGAGGAGTGGGGAGATATGGGAGATGAGAAGAGTTGGGGAGAGATGTGAGATTAGAGGAGTGGGGAGAGATGGGAGATGAGAGGAGTGGAGGAGAGATGGGAGATGAGAGGAGTTGAGGAGAGATGGAAGATGAGAGGAGTTGGAGAGAGATGGGAGATGAGAGGAGTGGGGGAGAGATGGGAGATGAGAGGAGTGGGAGAGAGATGGGAGATGAGAGGAGTTGGGAGAGAGATGGGAGATGAGAGGAGTGGGGGAGAGATGGGAGATGAGAGGAGTTGGGGAGAGATGGGAGATGAGAGGAGTGGGGAGAGATGGGAGATGAGAGGAGTGGGGGAGAGATGGGAGATGAGAGGAGTGGGGGAGAGATGGGAGATGAGAGGAGTGGGAGGAGAGATGGGAGATGAGAAGAGTTGGGGAGAGATGAGAGATTAGAGGAGTGGGGAGAGATGGGAGATGAGAGGAGTGGGGGAGAGATGGGAGATGGGGGAGTGGGGAGAGATGGGAGATGAGAGGAGTTGGGGAGAGATGGGAGATGGAGGAGTGGGGAGAGATGGAGATTAGAGGAGTGGAGGAGAGATGGAGATGAGAGGAGTGGGGGAGAGATGGGAGATGAGAGGAGTGGGGGAGAGATGGGAAATGAGAGGAGTGGAGGAGAGATGGGAGATGAGAGGGGTTGGGGAGAGATGGGAGATGGGGGAGTGGGAGGAGAGATGGAGATGAGAAGAGTTGGGTAGAGATGGGAGATGAGAGGAGTGGGGGAGAGATGGGAGATGAGAGGAGTTGGGGAGAGATGGGAGATGAGAGGAGTGGGGGAGAGATGGGAGATGGGGGAGTTGGGGAGAGATGGGAGATGAGAGGAGTTGGGGAGAGATGGGAGATGAGAGGAGTGGGAGGAGAGATGGGAGATGAGAGGAGTTGGGGAGAGATGGGAGATGAGAGGAGTGGGGAGAGATGGGAGATGAGAGGAGTTGGGGAGAGATGGGAGATGAGAGGAGTTGGGGAGAGATGGGAGATGAGAGGAGTGAGGGAGAGATGGGAGATGAGAGGAGTTGGGGGAGAGATGGGAGATGAGAGGAGTGGGGGAGAGTTGGGAGATGAGAGGAGTGGGAGGAGAGATGGGAGATGAGAGGAGTGGGAGGAGAGATGGTAGATGAGAGGAGTTGGGGAGAGATGGGAGATGAGAGGAGTTGGGGAGAAATGGGAGATGAGAGAAGTGGGAGGAGAGATGGGAGATGAAAGGAGTTGGGGAGAGATGGGAGATGAGAGGAGTGGGGGAGAGATGGGAGATGAGAGGAGTGGGGAGAGATGGGAGATGAGAGGAGTTGGGGGAGAGATGGGAGATGAGAGGACTGGGGGAGAGATGGGATATGGGGGAGTGGAGGAGAGATGGGAGATGAGAGGAGTTGGGGAGAGATGGGAGATGAGAGGAGTGGGGGAGAGATGGGAGATGAGAGGAGTGGGGAGAGATGGGAGATGGGGGAGTTGGGGAGAGATGGGAGATGAGAGGAGTTGGGGAGAGATGGGAGATGGAGGAGTGGGGGAGAGATGGGAAATGAGAGGAGTGGAGGAGAGATGGGAGATGAGAGGAGTGGGGGAGAGATGGGAGATGAGAGGAGTGGCGGAGAGATGGGAGATGAGAGGAGTGGGGGAGATATGGGAGATGAGAAGAGTTGGGGAGAGATGAGAGATTAGAGGAGTGGGGAGAGATGGGAGATGAGAGGAGTGGAGGAGAGATGGGAGATGAGAGGAGTTGAGGAGAGATGGAAGATGAGAGGAGTTGGAGAGAGATGGGAGATGAGAGGAGTGGGGGAGAGATGGGAGATGAGAGGAGTGGGAGAGAGATGGGAGATGAGAGGAGTTGGAGGAGAGATGGGAGATGAGAGGAGTGGGGGAGAGATGGGAGATGAGAGGAGTGGGAGGAGAGATGGGAGATGGGGGAGTTGGGGAGAGATGGGAGATGAGAGGAGTTGGGGAGAGATGGGAGATGAGAGGAGTGGGGGAGAGATGGGAGATGAGAGGAGTGGGGGAGAGATGGGAGATGGGGGAGTTGGGGAGAGATGGGAGATGAGAGGAGTTGGGGAGAGATGGGAGATGAGAGGAGTGGGGGAGAGATGGGAGATGAGAGGAGTGGAGGAGAGATGGGAGATGAGAGGAGTGGGGAGAGATGGGAGATGAGAGGAGTGGGGGAGAGATGGGAGATGAGAGGAGTGGGAGGAGAGATGGGAGATGAGAAGAGTTGGGGAGAGATGAGAGATTAGAGGAGTGGGGAGAGATGGGAGATGAGAGGAGTGGGGGAGAGATGGGAGATGGGGGAGTGGGGGAGAGATGGGAGATGAGAGGAGTTGGGGAGAGATGGGAGATGGAGGAGTGGGGGAGAGATGGGAATTTAGAGGAGTGGAGGAGAGATGGGAGATGAGAGGAGTGGGGGAGAGATGGGAGATGAGAGGAGTGGGGGAGAGATGGGAGATGAGAGGAGTGGGAGGAGAGATGGGAGATGAGAGGGGTTGGGGAGAGATGGGAGATGGGGGAGTGGGAGGAGAGATGGGAGATGAGAAGAGTTGGGTATAGATGGGAGATGAGAGGAGTGGGGGAGAGATGGGAGATGAGAGGAGTGGGGGAGAGATGGGAGATGAGAGGAGTGGGGGAGAGATGGGAGATGGGGGAGTTGGGGAGAGATGGGAGATGAGAGGAGTTGGGGAGAGATGGGAGATGAGAGGAGTGGGAGGAGAGATGGGAGATGAGAGGAGTTGGGGAGAGATGGGAGATGAGAGGAGTGGGGAGAGATGGGAGATGAGAGGAGTTGGGGAGAGATGGGAGATGAGAGGAGTTGGGGAGAGATGGGAGATGAGAGGAGTGGGGGAGAGATGGGAGATGAGAGGAGTTGGGGAGAGATGGGAGATGAGAGGTGTGGGGGAGAGTGGGAGATGAGAGGAGTGGGAGGAGAGATGGGAGATGAGAGGAGTGGGAGGAGAGATGGTAGATGAGAGGAGTTGGGGAGAGATGGGAGATGAGAGGAGTTGGGGAGAAATGGGAGATGAGAGGAAGTGGGAGGAGAGATGGGAGATGAAAGGAGTTGGGGAGAGATGG